AAAAGTAGGCTCAAGACACACCTTTTTAGATTAGCTTTTGATTAATTTTTACTATTTCATTTTATATATTCTATTTATCTTCTATTATTTATTGTATTGCTATTGCTTTTATTCATGTATTGTGTGTTAGTTCATTTTAGTTTCACATTTTTGTGTTTTACATATTTTATTTATTTATTTATTTATTTGATAGGGACAATGCACATTAATGAACATCAGTATAAAACAAATGTAAATATGCCGGATTATAGCTACAAAGCTAGTTTTCATCCGTAGTCCCTAGGCAGGAAAATACATAACGAAATACAATACAATAAAATACAAAATAACACTATAATACAACTAGCACAGAGAATAGTTCAGAATCTAGTGGTCACATGACTGATTTCTCTTAATCCATTGTTTGATTTGAGTTTTAAAGGTGACCAGTGTAGGACTCTCCCGTAAGTGCAGAGGGAGACTGTTCCAGATGTTCATGGCCCTCACAGAGAGAGTGTTCTGTCCAAATGTAGTTTTTCTGAAGGGGACCTCACAGTCTCCTCTGGAGGAGGCCCTAGTCCTCAGGCCACTTGAAGTCCTAGGTTTGAATAGGGCCGATACAGGAGGTGGGGCTAGTCCATGTAGCGCTTTGTAGATGAAGCATACATACTTAAAGTTGATAAAACTTTCAAAATTTAAAAGATTGTGCTTGTTTAAAATATTGCATGTATGAAATGAATTGGGTTTTCTGTCAAAAACTTTAAGAGATTTCTTATACAGAGATTCAATTATTTTCAAATTGGTTACAGAGGTGAGAGACCAACTTGTGATGCAATATTCAACATGGGATAAAATCATTGAATGGAGAAACATTCTGGCTGCATTAAGTGTTAAAAAAGACCTGATTTGTTTAAAAGTTTTAAGGTTGAATTTAATGGTGTTGGCCAGTTTTTTTATATGATCTTTAAAAGATAGAGTGGAGTCGAGTGTCAGACCCAGATACTTGAATTCTGTGACAAGTTGTAGTTCTTCCCCTCTCAAGAAAACTCCAGAATTTTTCATCACTTTTGATTGCTTGGAGAACATCATACAGACCGTTTTTTTAGAATTTAGAAGCAAGCATGATTTAAATAGCCAGTCATTTACTTGTTCCATGGCTGAGGTCAGAATGGAAGCTGCTTCCTTAACGCTCCTTGCATGAGTATATATTACAGCATCATCTGCATACATTTGAAAACTCACATTAGTACATGTTTTGGGAAGATCATTTATGTACAGTGAGAATAATAGGGGGCCAAGTATTGATCCTTGCGGCACACCGACTGGGACATCCTGGATTGATGACTTTACACTGCCAATATGTACACATTGTTTTCGTGAAGCTAAATATGATTTCATCCATTGAATGGATGAAATCCATTCAATGGATTGTATTGTTATTGTATTGTTTTTAGTGTACCCAGTGTTTCCTCTGGAGGAGCCCTCTGCACTGGGAGCGGTGGTCGGCATGGCTGTGGGGGTCGGACTCTTGGACCTGGTGGGGGCCTGGGGCCTCGGTTTCGGGTCTCCTCTGGATCCTGTGTCGTCCCCTGTGGCTACAGGCGGCTCTCTGCTCCTGGTGCAGACGGCTCCTAGGATGACGCTTTTTCAACTGGTTGCATCCGAACCCTGCCAAGTCTCTCATCATTGTTTTACTGTTTTACTTGTGTGTGTGTGTGTGTGTGTGTGTGTGTGTCAGAGAGTGTGCATGGGAGCGTGTGTGTGTTTGTCTGTGGTTTGGGATGGGTCTGTTGGGTGGTCGGGGGGAGGGGACATGGGCCGGCGGGATTGTTTTTAACCAAACTGTAAAGCACTTTGTGTTGCATCTTTTGTATGAAAAGCGCTTCATAAATAAAATTTGATTTGATTTGATTTGATGTATAATAATATGGTAAATATATTTTTCCATTGTATTTCCAATGGAAAACGGACCATACACGCGTCGACGGACGTGAAAAATAGGATTGTTTCTATGTCGTCCGTTGCACCCTGTGTGGACGGACAGCTCCCTACAGACGTGTGATGTTTGTCATACAGACGCATGTCGCGGGCAGTGGAGCCACTTCCATTCACCCTCATGGAGAAAATGGAAACGGAGATGAAACAAACACGGTTGGACGGATATGTAGTACGTTTTACGCAGCCGGTGGAGTCGGGGCCTTATGCCGTGTTCAGACCGCAAACGCTCAAACGCTGAAGTCCCGCTCACCAGAAGCGCATTCTCTAGTTTTCAGACGCAGGAGTCTTCACACCAGAACGTCCTGACCAGCGCCGGAAGTGCCGGAAGTAGCCGGCCGGCTCTGATGCTAACAGAGTTTAGCTAGCGGCTTCTTGTGTACAGATCTTCTCCAATAATGCAGCTTTGCAGCGTGTCTTTGCTCACAGACATTCCACGGGCTTTATATAACAGTAGTATGTGTTCACGGAGCTGCGCCATACGTTTATTTTAATATTAAACGGTACTTCCGCATCGGCGAGCACACTCAAAGCAGTTGCATAAAGTCACGGGAGCATGACAACGCATATTTTCACAAGCACAGAGTCCCCCATTGTCAACCCTGGTTTAGTCCTGGTTTTAAGTCGTGGTGTAGGTCCTGTTTTGGCTGTTTACAGTATGTTCAGTCTGCTCGCTCAGACCACTAATGTCCCCGTGACCACTTTGCAGCTCTCTGATTGGTCGCTGCACAAACGTCCCGAGGAAAGGTTGAGCAAAGTTTATCTCCTGTGGGCGTCGATTTTCCGCTCCTGCTCCTCCCCTTTTTCCGCGCAGTCCGTGCGTGTGTGCCGAAAGGTCCATGCGTTTTGATGCTCGAACGCGCGTCACCATAGACTTTGCTTTGAAAGCAGACGCAACGCATGATCCGGTCTGAACGCGGCTTTAGGCAGAGATCTTGTACCAACTCCCTCAGGGCTTTATAACAGTTTCATGTTCTTTTCAGACAGAAAGAAATCAATCAAGAATTTTAAATCAAATTGTGAGTCATCAACACAGGTGATAGCCAGTGAAGAATATGACATAGTCTGGGATCGCGTCTTAAATTCAGACAGAAGACATGTTTTATTGTCGATGGTAGAGACAGCACGAACAAAGCACACGATCACAGATACAATAGAATGCAAGTGTATTATACAGAGCGGAGGCATGGAGACCTCCAATCAGCAGCTTCCACGGTGCCATGTAGCTTGGCCTTCAGATAGACAAAACAAGGGAAAAGTACAGGCTTCTGCACATTGATAGAATGATGAGTTTAACTTTAACAAAAGTTGCTTCAAAGTGTTATGAAATCTCACATTCCCCCCTCTGGTCATACATTCACGTGTGACCATCAGGATTGATAAACAGCAACATAACATCATAACTCAATACTTCAAAAACTCATAAACTCGGTACTTCACTCGGTACCTCAACAAACTCAGAACTCGGAATACTTCAAAAACTCATAAAACATGTTCAGATCTTTCATAAAACTTGTCAACAATCTTCAGTAAAATACCAAACTTCATCAGTCGATGGTGGATCCAGATATTGCTTTGAAAACAGTCTCTCCCACTTCTCCGTGTTGATTTCTTCAGGCTGCATTTGTTGTGTCAAGCCATGAATTCTTCTGTGACGTGTCTTTCAAGCACACGTTTCAGCTTCAGTGTCCAGATTCAGCAATTCAATTCAGTCCAAATTATGTCCAAATTCAGAAATCCAGATTGTTCCAAATTATGTCCTTGCAAAAGAGGACGCTGGTGTTGTCCATGTCTCAGCAGCTCACAGCCTGACTGGAATCAGCAGGGGCTGTGCAGATTGTCCATGTGCTGGTCCAGATGCATTCTCTTGAGGTTTCTCAGTTTTGGCTTAAAAAAAAAACACTTTTTGTGTAAAAAAAAAGAGTCTTCTGTTCTCTAGATGTTACAGACAATGCCCGCATCCTTCCACCACCTGAAGAAGATGACATAGTCTGGGATCGCGTCTTAAATTCAGACAGAAGACATGTTTTATTGTCGATGGTAGAGAACGATCAAAGCACACGATCACAGAAACAACAGAATGCAAGTGTATTATACAGAGCGGAGGCATGGAGACCTCCAATCAGCAGCTGCCACGGTGCCATGTAGCTTGGCCTTCAGATAGACAAAACAAGGGAAAAGTACAGGCTTCTGCACATTGATAGAATGATGAGTTAGTGTTATGAAATCTCACACCAGTCCAAACAACATAGACATGAGTGAAGTCGCCGTGACCTTAAAGACCTGATCACTTGAATATTATGTCATGCGTCCCATTGTCCCAAGTCCCATTTTTTGGAGGCTGTATTCCACAGTCATAATAACCCCAGAAAACGTAAACCTGCTGTTTTGACTGTATGTATAAGTCAACTTTAGCTGTTAGTATTACCTCTTGGTCTGATGACTAATACTACAGTGTGAATGAGCGAGACAGCTTGAGTAATTCATTGCTCACACGTTTTAACATACAGCCCGTTGTCTCTCGTTTGACCTTTAGACCTGCACTGGAACAATCATACTTTCTCTTCTATCTGTAGGCCATTCATGTTTGACCAATGAGAGCAGGAGATAGGGGTTTTCAATGCATGGCTATACCTTTATCTAGTCCCATGCCATATTGAGAGCTTTAATCTATGTTTCGCCTTTATTGACAAAACTATAAAACACCGGGGAAAAGGTTATATACAAACACTGTGTAATAAAGCGCTTTTGAATTCATTTGCGGGTGTATCGATCATATGTCCTCCGATGCAGTTTCAGACAACCCTGGCTCAATTAGTAAACCGTGAAGTAGTAGTTTTCCCCCCCCCAAAGGTTAAGTGTTATATGATGAGGTTGGGAGGTTGAAACAGTGCATAGAAGCATATAGGCCAACACATTTTAAATTAAGATAGGCCTTATACCTTTGCCCCCCTCTCCTCCCCCTTTTTTCAGGCCTGTTTTCCAGACTATAGAAGCAATTGGGAGTAGCGCGTGTGATGTACAGTCTACGCCGTCGCCCCCCCCCCCCCCCCCCCCCCCCCCCCCCCCCCCCCCCCCCACCCCACCCCACCCACTCCAGAACCCTGCACGCACAAAGCAGGACCTAAAGCTCGCATGGGTCCGGGTTGCAGCAGCCGTGGTGGTGTTTTTTCTCCCCTTTCCCTGGTTGCCGTAACGATGGCTGATGTGATAAGACCTTCTCCTCGGCGCCACACTCCGGGGGACCGCAGGGAAGACGTAACCATGGCTACGGCCGGCCCGAGGTGTCACGCTATAATTGGGCCACGGCTGCACTTCCTGTGAGCCTTCAGTCAGGGGGGGGACTGTGCGTGCGTGCGTGTGTGTGTGCGTAAAAAGTGTGTGGGTAATGGTTAGTGTGTGCGTGTGAGAGAGAGTGTGTGTGTGTCTCTGCGTGAATGCGTGCCTGGGTTTAGTCGTGGAGGTGGTGGGTGCATGTGTGTGTGTCTGTGTGTGCGTAAAAAGTGTGTGCGTAATGGTTGGTGTGTGTATGTGTGTGTATCTCTGCGTGAATGCGTGCCTGGGTTTAGTCGTAGAGGTGGTGGGTGGGGGGTGCGCGCGCGTATGTGTGTGTGTGTGTGTGTGTGCGTGTACTTGCTTGTGTGTGTTCGTGAGTGTACGTGCGTAATAGTGTGTCTCTGCGTGTTGAATGCGGGCCTGGGTTTAAATGTGTGTAGTCGTGGAAGTGGTGTGCGTCAATGTGTGTGTGTGTGTGTGTGTCTGTGTGTGTGTGATCGTGCGCGTGGTGTTTGTCAGGCAGTGAGAGAAGCTGAGAGGCGAAGAGAGAGAGAGAGAGAGAGAGAGAGAGAGAGAGAACGCAGCACGCGGCCAACGCAGGACACTGCCAACTCATGGAGAAACACGCAGAGCTCCAACCAACGAAGCACGCAGCCGTTTTTCCACTGAAACAGAACCGACTGGCTGAGGCGTGGGCCATAGTATGCAGGCACACGTGACTGCATAACAAAACGGTGTCAAACTCGAGGTTAATGTAAACAATTACCACTTCTAATGTGTCTCATTCACAGTCAAATCCCCAGAGGTTATAATACTACTGTTATTAATGCGAGGGCCCCTGCAGGAGGCCTCAGCATACATTACTATTACATTTATGGACCCCGATTATTACCCAACTCAATTCTGAAGGCCTCAATGACATTTAGGTGTGAACATACCAATCCACTCAATATTGTACTATTGCATAATTCAATGGTTTTCAACTGGTGGGTCGTGGGATCCTTCTGTGTGGGCCCGAGCCTAAACTACACTGCAAAAAAGTTACATTCACTTGAAATAAATTTGCCCTGGTTTTAAGAAGTTTGTCCATAATTCAAGTTCAGTTAAGAAAAGAAAACTTGACAAAATGATCTTTAAATATGATAGATTGTCCAGACAAATGTCCTTTTTTCAAATATTTGTTTATGTATTACCTTGATTCCAGTCTGTTTGCTTATAAAGTTACTTGCATTATTATTCAATGCTTAAGAAACAATTATGTGTGAAAATAAACAGTATTTTACATTCTCACTGTGTCAAATTCAGGTCTTTTTTGAGGCGTCACAAGTTGTTGATGGATCCCAGTTCAATCGTTTCAGTTAGAACCATAATCGACTGTGACCTCGGGGCGTTGGAGCACTTTGGATGAGTCTGGGGTGAGATGAACTATTCACCAAAACAAACCAAACGTTCACCTCATCTGTTCATCAAGAAGAAGAAATACTTTTTCAACTTACAACCAAATCAGGTCCTGAACAATCTGGATGAGACTTGAGGTTTGTAGCTTCATGGGTTGGTCCTGGTTTCAATCAATATTCTTCTTATTAAAACATTAAAGAGTAGCTATTGTTAATCAATCCATCAAGTTGTTTATTTCACAACATGTACAACGCTTTTCCACCGAAAACAATTTGAGATACATGTACGTTTTGAAAAGGCCAAGACAATCAAGACACAAAATTGTTCAAAAAGAATACCTGAAAACACACACACGCGCACGCACACACACAGGCCCAAACACACTCCGACCCTACACCTCTGTCCCATCATTCTCTCTCCTCCACAAACTTCTCCAGCACTTCTCATAACAGAACAGCAGAATAGTACCGCAATATTATACTACATACACACACACACACACACATACACACACACACACACACACACACACACACACACACACACACACACACACACACACACACACACACACACACACACACACGCACACAGGCCCAAACACACAGACGCACACACACAGGCTCAAACACACTCCGACCCTACACCTCTGTCCCATCATTCTCTCTCCTCCACAAACTTCTCCAGCACTTCTCATAGCAGAACAGCAGAATAGTAACGCAATAATATATCACATACGCACACACGATGCGCACACACATACGCACACACACATGCGCACACACAGGCCCAAACACTCGCTAAGTATCTGTCATAGTGTTTTGTACTTTCCGTTTCCTTCAGAACATTTCTCGCCAATAGATCGTCTGTCCCAGTCCATTGTGCTTTTTCCCCGGCTCCAGATTCTGCCCTTTATCCCTACTTTAGTTCTGTTTTTTTGTACCGTTTATTTAATTCAATTATTTTTAACTGCTATTTTTATTGTATTTATTCAAGTTAAATCTATGATCATTTGTGTTTAAAAAAGGTGTTGATCAATTGGAAAATGCAAAAAGGAGGCAGGTAGTTCAAAGATCTCCCTGAAACTCATATTCTAAGATATTTGTAGCATCAGTCACTCACAGTAAGTGTTGCATATTAGGTTTTTAGATCATTAAAAAGTGAATCATAAACGTCTGATGGAGCCGAGGCCTTCAAAGCACCGTGATGAAGAGGCCCGCACTCCTGGGAGTTTGGATCCAATGGAAATGTCTTCGCAAATATCCAACCGAGCAGCTCTGTTTTTCAGGTTTTCAGATTGAAAACCTGAAAAGCTGTTAGTTTTGACATAACTTTGCATTCAGTCTGCTCTCTGATTGGATAATCTGCCTGAACACTAACCATACACATATTATGGACATCATGTTAACTAATAATCTCAACTAGCTGTAATTTAAAATGAATAAATGACTCTGTGTCCCTTTAACATGGTAAACACAGCGGTCATGTGACAAAGACGTTTTAAATACTTACGTACATTTTAATAAAACTTTGAAGTCGTCTGTGGATTTTCTTTACAACAGCAAAATATCTATTCATTTGAGATTTTCTCAATTTCCTGTGAAACAATGTAATGCTGTGACAGAGTTTTAAACAAGCACAGAATATAAATAAAAATGGCACTTATGTAGCTGTAATCGAATAATAACTCTGTTTTTCAAGTTTTCAGCTTGTGCTCCTATATCCTATGTTTGTGTTTGAGCTTGAAGGTGGGGTTCTTAGCTTTCGACCCAATAATTATGAACGTTTTTCCCAATGAACATGCCGTCTTCGTTGCATTAGAATTACACGTGATACTGATTGATTTCATCTGGTTAAACTGACATTGGTCAGTATACAGTAAGATGGTTCTGTCAGTATGTAGTACGAGTCTGCTGTGTGTATGATGAGTGATTGATCGATTGGTCTAGTCTAGTAGATCCTTTGTTTCACAGACAAAATATCTCTTCAATGTTTTAACAAATCTGTCTGAGTTAAAAGTGTGTGGTAACTTTTAGAACGATGTATTTATTGACGTTTGTGTGGATGGATGTGTTTCTGCTGCTGGACACATGACAGTCTCCAACAAGTATCTCTATAATTGGTTATTTTGGACCAAATCATTTGACGCTATGACCAATATAGATAGCTTCAATTGCCCAAGTCCATTTTCAAGATTGCGAGGTTGGTTTCACATCTTAGTTTTCACAAAGATACTGTATGTTGTTCAGTAAATATCTCCAATAGTGCATCTAGTCTTCCATGAATGAAAAAAAAGCCTTGAAATGATCATACATGTGACCCCAACCTGGATCTGTTTCTTCTGGTGATTTAATATTTCTCTTTATCTATTTCTCCATAAAAAAAAAAAAAGCTTTGGTCACTGTATTCCCACACAGAGTCAGGCCTTTAGCACAGATCTCAGACAGACGCGTTTGGCCCAGAGGCCGGAGGTTGTTCTCGCTCCAGTCTTGTGTTTCGTCGTCTCTCGCACAAAGGAAAGGGGAATTTTCAAATTCTTGGATCCGCTGCTGCGTACACCCCCCCCCCCCCCTCTCTCTCTCCCTTCCTGCTTTTCTGGTGCCTCTAATCTCCAAGCAGGTGATTCATCCAATCAATTCCTCCTACTACCGAACGGAAGTCCACAAATTATCGCAGCTTTTTATCCCCTTTTCTTTCCTTTTTTTTCCCATTCTGTCTCTTTTTCACAGCGATTGCGACAGTCACGCGGCCTGGTTTTACCTCATATGAGCTGCCATGCGCATCCAGCCTCACGCATGATATCATCATCATCATTGCAGAGTGAATGTGTGATGTCATGTGTGATGTCGCTGCAGTGGGTGATGTCACTGGTTGTGGTCGCTCTTGGTGACTGCGAGTGTAAGAACTTATAGAGTCTGTGGGTTCGCTGTGGCCACTCCCAAACAGCACTGACAACAGAAATACGGTTACGTCTACAAAAAAAACAGTTACATCCCTGAAAAAAACAGTTTCATCTCCAGCGGGAACAGTAATGACAACATTTACTCACAACTGGGAATGACAAAAGTAACTAAATGTGATCAAATCCATCTAACTAGTTCCTGATTCTGGACGGTTTGATTCCAGCTCTACACTTAAGAAATATTCCGCCTAAGCAGGTCTCAAGTCCCAGCGTCAAATCGTGACTATACAAAATATGTGTTCTAGTAAAGCATTTTTAGTTCTTGTATTTCAATAAAATCAATAAAGTTCATTGTATCTTATATTTTGGACACGTTCTTTTTGAGACTCTTTCTTTTGGGACAAACAAAATGTGATATTTGTGTTTAAAAAGTTAGCTCCTTAGCTTTGAACTCGTGCAGCTTGAAAAATAAACAGGAAGTTTACGTCCTCCGGTTGAGACCCTTCCTCAGGTGCAGGTCTAAAAGTATCTCGGGGTCTTGTTCACACTGGCAGACAGATGCAGCGTGTGCAGGGATGCAGACTGTGGTGAAGAGGCAGCTGAGGCCAAAAACAAGCTCTTGATTTACCGGGAGGAGCTCGGAGTAGAGTCGCTGCTTCTTCACGTCGAGAGGAGGTAGTTGAGGTGGCTCCAACCTCCCTGTCATGTCCCACTAGAAGGAGACCAGGGAAAGAGCCAGGACATGTTGGGGGAATTATGTCCCCTGGATGAGCTGGAGGATGTGGATAGATACAAGATACAAGAATTTATTTGCCATTTGCAGTAAAACCACATTGGAAAAACTGTGCAAGACTACACCAGTGTGCACCAGACAGAGAAGACGGCACACACCAGAGCAGGGTTTTCCAGGGTCGAAGCAGGACTCTTGCCTCTTCATGTAATATTGCAAAAGACAACATTGTTTTAGATCAATATTGATAATTGAAATGGCCATTGATTGTCAGTAAAGAGAGGTTTTACGTTGTCTTTAAAGTAAAACAAGGTCTCAGTCTAATTATAGAGAATGGCGTTGTGAAACAGGAAGTGTGTTGCTGGTGCTGTTTTTTGCCTGTTGTGCTCAAAGACTGACTGTGCGACAGAGTGAGAAATAATCTTTGGACTTGTGGATCTTTATACGTCTTTTAATGCTTCTACATTAAAGATGCAGGCAGTGATTTTTGTTCTGACGCATTTTTTTTAAATATTGCGGGAAATCCGTAAATCCTAAAAGTAGTCTAGTTATCATGTGTTTTCAAATAGTAATGGAATTGACCAGATACCTGTAGTCTCTAAACATTTGTACAAAATATGTTAGAGTGGACCGATAAAAATTAACCAATGGGATGTGTTTACCGCCTTCACCCACTTCCTGTTTCTCATGAAAGAGCGCACTTGAGTTATCGGATTTTCTAAAACCTAAAATCGCTGAACAGAAAATGCCAATTTCACATTTGCCACCCACTCTCCCTGTTGTGACAAAAGAAAAGAAAATGCTGGATGTTTGGTTTGGTGGAGAGGGAGGGGAGGGGAGAAGGGGGAGTTGGTGCTACGGCTAAGCTAACAACATCGCTTACCGCACCTTTAAGCTGTTAGTTTTGACATAACTTTGCATTCAGTCTGCTCTCTGATTGGATAATCTGCCTGAACACTAACCATACACATATTATGGACATCATGTTAACTAATAATCTCAACTAGCGGTAATTTAAAATGAATAAATGACTCTGTGTCCCTTTAACATGGTAAACACAGCGGTCATGTGACAAAGACGTTTTAAATACTTACGTACATTTTAATAAAACTTTGAAGTCGTCTGTGGATTTTCTTTACAACAGCAAAATATCTATTCATTTGAGATTTTTTGACATTTCCTGTGAAACAATGTAATGCTGTGACAGAGTTTTAAACAAGCACGGAATATAAATAAAAATGGCACTTATGTAGCTGTAATCGAATAATAATGAATTTAGATGCATGGCTAACCACGTCAACCATTTTGAAACTCAATTGTCTATGTTGTTGACACTATCTCAGACGAAACCCTTGCATTATTTGTGGTCGTGGAATATAAAAGAAAAGAAAAGCTCCATCACATTTTTTAAGGCGGTATTTTCTCAGGCCCATTCTTTAAGTTAGAGCTGCCGCCAATCACAGACGTCCAAGAGTGCTTCAAAGACACAAAAAAAAAAAATAATAATAATAATAATAATAATAATAACAATTGTAAACCACTTTGTGACCCTTGTCTGTGAAAGGCGGTATATAAATAAACATTACTTACTTACTTACTTACTTACTATTTGGAAATACATTTGGGCCATATTTTGGAGGTTAAATCTCTTTTCACTCATTGTTAGTGGTTTTGTGAAGCCACTCTTTGTATAAATATTTGTTCCATTTTCCAATTAGAATGAAACATCAGAAGCCACCAAAAAATTGTGAATTTTCAAAAACATATTTTTATTCATATGTGAAAGTAGTTGGTTGTTAGTTCTTTACAAAACCAGATAAATTGAGTTGCAATAGTAATGCATTTTCAACCATTCTTGAGCAAATTCTTTCCAATTCACTTTAGCTCTCGGAGTAAGAAACAACTAGAACTCTGAGAGCCGTCTTTTTGACCTCATTCAAATCAATGGAATTCTGAAAAGTTAGCAGATTTACCATGAGGTTTGTTTAAATTTACCTTTTAATCAGCTTTAATAAGTGCTAAAACTGATGAAAATGACTTGAAATACAGAAAATAAAACCGTTTGTTGGAAGGCTAAATGCTAACTGGTAGCAAGCTAACAGTGTGTTGCTATGGTTACTTGCGCTTGCTCATCTCCACTCCATTTCAAAATGAAAATATAAATTCATGAAAGTAACAACATAGACAACATAAATTAAGAGAAAATCTAAAAATGTACTGTTCCAACACTTCCTGAACTAGAAGCCGTCAAATTGACTGCTCTGGGAGTTCTAGTGTAAACAATTATGAAGTCTTTTGTATAGTTGTGGATGAGGTTCTTTATCCTCTCTGATGGTAAAGCTGCTTCAAGTTCACGTAAATTCCTGGGATGCCTTCTATCGATTTCAGATCACCAGAGAGGATTAATGCTGTTAAAATTCAAAAGTAGAAAAACACGTTTATTTGACAAAACATGGCAAAATAAGTCACAACTGTATGTTCGCGGAGAAGCAGAGACTGAAGCGACAATGTCAATATTTGTTGTTTTTATTATGCAACATTTACACAAACAATACAATACAATAGCAATAATGTGTTTTCTGTATGTCTTCTGGTATGGACCTTTTACTCTTGTGTCCAAAAAAGGTATTGAATTGAGACAGAAAGATAACTAATAGACTGATGTTGACAAGAAACAATAACAAAAACAATAACAAAACAAGAAAATTAGTAGTAACTGAGGAAGGTATTCTGTGTGTGGTGTGTGTGTGTGTGTATGTGCATGTGTGTGTGTGTATGTGCATGTGTGTGTGTGTATGTGCATGTGTGTGTGTGTGTGCATGTGTGTGTGTGTGCGTGTGTGTGTCTGTGTGCGTGTGTGTGTGTGTATGTATGTGTGTGCGTGTGTCACCATTGCACCATACTAAAAATAATCCACATTCATCATCATGACCAGAACCATTTGAGCTTTCATTATGAGATTAATAACAATAATAATAAAAATAACAACAATAATATTCACAATCATTATCACCATCTCTATTATTACAATAACAGTCATAACATTTCATAATTTCACCATGTACTGCTACCTTCCCTCCACCGTAAAGAAGAAGGAGAAGGAGAAGGAGAAGAAGAAGAGAAGGAGAGGTGGAAGGAGAAGGAGAAGATGAAAAGGAGAGGGGGAAGGAGAAGAAGGAGAAGAAGGAGAAGGAGAAGAGAAGGAGAAGATGATGATGAAGAAGAAGAAGAAGGAGAACGAGAACGAGAACGAGAACGAGAAGATGAAGATGAAGATGAAGATGAAGAAGAAGAAGAAGAAGAAGGAGAAGGAGAAGAAAAACAACAATAACAGTAGAAGAAGTGTTGTCACCATCTGGACCGACAGAACCCAGGCCCGGGCTTGTCCTGGTCGAGCCCAGTCTTGTCCGTCCACTCGTGTGGACCAGGTGTTAGGCCTGTCTGGGTCTGTCCGGTCTCCACATGGATCCGCTGCTGGGAGAGAAAAACCCGTGACGTCAGCCTGATAAGCCTGTGGTGCCGCTGTGTGCGTCCTTCAGCACAGTCTCCCTCTGTGTGAGCCAGGCCCGACCACAACAAAAACCGGTCTTTTCAGGGTCTACGTTCTGCTCTTTTCGATGGTGATATTTCACATAATTTCCTCTGGTTTTCAAAATGAGGATAAACACGTAAAGTGAGTTAAACTGTTTTATTATGCCTATGTATGGGCGACAGTAGCTCAGTTGGTAGAGCATTGGCCTTTGGGCCTGGAGGTTGTGAGTTCGATTCCCACCATGGGACCTACTCCAACTGCTCCCACTGATGACTGCTGTCGTTGTGTCGTTGGGCAAGACACTTAACCCCACATTGCCTGAAGACCCCTGCTGAAAGACCAAGGCTGTTTCACAATTGACGGAGCAGCCATCTTCCTGTGGACTCACCCCCTGCAGAAGATCAGCGAGGGACTGGTGCTATGAGCATTGGGTGGCAGCTCTCATTGCCACCCCCCCGACCCAGAAATGGACAAAGGGGTTGAAAATGAAATTAAATCAAATGTTTTAAATGTGAAGCGCTTCGTAATGCTGGTCTGTGAAAGACGCTATAAAATTAAACTTCACTCACTGACTCACTTACTTACTTACTTAATCATTTTCTTACTTACTTACTTTAGGAACAGTTCAAAACCAAAAGTGAATTTATTTTTTGATGTTCAATTCATTTTTATTGTTGTATACATATAAATCACAACAGAAGTCGACTCGAAGGACTTTACAAAGTTGTCGATTCGCCCACGACAGATCTGAGAATCAAACAGTTTCTCTGATCTGGTGAAAGCAACAAGATTTTCCATTGACTTGAAGCTTGTCGTGACGTGAAAATCCATATTTGGTCACTCCTCTATTGTATTTAAAGATACAGTATGTGATTAGCATTCTGAGAGGTCTGATTACTGATGCAATCCACCTACTGGGGTTTGGCTAGAAACAGTTGCAGCGTTGTTGGAAATGGGCTCCTTTGGCATATACTGCGTTATACTTCATTTTAAAACATTTTGTCTCAGGAAAACAACCCTATTATTGTATTGTTTCTAAAATGTTAGAAGTTATATATATTTTTGCTATTTTAACTAGCAGTCTTCTAATCCATGTCTAATGTCCAAGCCAGTTGTGGTTGAATCATAACATACAAGATAACATCCAAACTCATGTCAAATACAGTCGATTGAATTGACAAAAATAAACTTTTATGCCTTTGGCCGCAACCAGCGCTTAAGTTTTTGAATACAACACACAAAAATTACCGCAGACCTTTATTTCTTTATTTTGTTTTGCTCATTTTGTTCATGGTAATGCAACAAACTTCCACAACAATCCAGCGAGTACAACAGTGATACATTTTTTGAAAAAAAACGTTCTCCTCCTAAAAGATAAATCCAGAAATGTGAGTGGGACTTTTCTGGATAGAAAACAGTGAATATAGATAAATTACAAATATGGTAAAACACACACAAACGTAACATTACAGCTTACATACTGTTTAGGACTTTTAAAGCCTGAATCGCAAACACAAATATCACATGTATATCTCTCTGTTGCTATATTTTCAATCCCAAACCGTATAGTATCGTATAGTATCGTATAGTAAGAATTTATTTCAAACATTATGCAAAAGAAAACAATGTAAGCAATAAACAAGATACAAAATAAAACAAGACACACACAAAAAACAGAAATAAACCGTTCCACCAGAAGAAATGACTCAATCCTAAACCCATGAGTGGTTTTTTCCATCTCCGGTCGCACGTAGAACATTGTCTCTCTCTCTCTCTCTATATATATATATATATATATATATATATATATATATATATATATATATATATATATGTTTCTCTGTGATGTCACAACTTTGAGATTATACATTGGTCATAGTTAACTCCAGTGTGCACAGAGAGAGTTGAGCTGTTTACTACGCACGCCTCACACCCTTCTTGGATCCGCTCCTGCGTTTCTCCCTCTCCTCCTTCCTTTTCGGTGCCTTTCTGGTGATTTGGAGCTTAATCCCCTCTGCTCCCCCCCCCTTCCCTCCTCCGCTCTAGCCCCCCTCCCCCCCTTGTCGTCACGCTCATGCTCACTCTCTCTCTCTCTCAACTCTTTTTTTTTTTCTCCCCCTCTTCTCACACACACACACATATACACATACAAGCGCACACACACACACACACACACACACACACACACACATACCGGAAATCTGTGTCACCCTGGGCCCGGCAGGTCCATTGACTCCCAAACGCCTCCAGCCTGGCTCCAGTGGCTCGCACACAAGATGGCAGCGGAAACAGGCGAGAGAAACCAGGAGCGGAATGGACGCATGCACTCACTGTGGATGTGCTTTTTCCGACACGGCCCACACCCAAATGTGGCTCACAGTTTTGGGCCCAGCGCGAAAATGACACTGCGGAATTGACACGAAATGGCCAAAATGTTGCCGTATGACGTCAGTTTTAATGGAACCCAGCTAGAGTCCGACACATGCTGTTCCTATAAAGCATTGGTTTGGGTCTTTATCGTAACAGTGATAGTGTTCACTTTGGTGTCTCAAGTTATAGAATTTGAAATAATGTCTAGAGTGGGAAAAATATGGATAAACATGTGTAGAGGATGCACAATGATCTCAGTGTGTAATTCTTCACTTTTACCACTAGAGGGAGCTGTTCAAATACTTTCATTCTTTTAACATGTTTGGACGGTGTGCTTATGCTTCATAGCAAGAAGGTCCAGGGTTTGATTCCACCTCCAGACAAGGCCATTCTGTGTGGCCTTTTCTGTGTGTTGCATGTTCTCTCTGTGTGTGCATAGGTTTTCTCCAGATGTTCCGGTTTCCCCTAACACTAGAACCATGTACATCCCTATTGGAGTGAGAGTACAAATCCCCACAACAATTGTAAAGGGTTTTGTGACTCTGTCTGCGAAAGGAAATATCCTGTAAAATATATAAGAATCAGACTTAAAGGTACACTGTGTAGTTTTTCCTCCCGTCTAGATCATATATTGTCATTTACAGTACTTCTCAGGACAATATGTCGTCTTTGACAGCGGTCCCCAACTATAGGTCAAACTCCTTTTTGTCCCTTATCAGCCACTGTATTTCAAGATGGCGCATTGACACAGAGAGTCCTCAGCCTCATGGACATTTATAAGTCACATTCTGAGCCTATGACGACAATTCAAAAATATTATGGAGGTAGATATTCTTATTCTTACATGTTTTTTCATTGGACTAACTTTTAAAAAAATAGTACCTTTAACATTATTTTTATAGCCATGTGAGTAACAAAAGTCACAAACTAGGAAAAATAACTGGCGCTGGGAACATTTTTAAAACTGCACAACTTATGGGCTCGACACACGAGAAGCGACATCGCATCGCCTCCATTCATTTTCAATGGGACGTGCGCGACATAGCGTCAATCGCTAGCGAGCCTCCTGCTCAGCGACGGGCGAAAAACGTGCGTGTGAAATCCTCCCGCTCGTGCATGTATCGTGCACGCGCAGGTCAGCGACGCAATCCCAGAAAGTTGAAATCGGCTCAACTTTTCGACGCTGTCGTCGAGCCGCATCGCGCCCCGTCTGTCATGTTATCTGAGCGACAGCGTTGAGTTTCGCTGATCGCTCTCATTTGTCGCCTCCCGTGTGTCGAGCCCTTTATTCTAAAAATCAAAACAACGACATTTGCTCCAGAGTTTATATTGTATTTTATTATTGTATCACCTATCATCTTAAAAAAGAGATTCTGTTTGACTTTATTCTGCTGTAAAGTGAGCAACTATGACATTGACATTTGAGGGATGAATTAAGGTATATCTTGTCAGCTCTCAGTAGACTACAGCATGTTGTGGTCTGGTTTGTTCAGATCTTTTGTTCTGTTGACTTTCTGGTGGAACAATAAATGTATTTATGAACCCAAATAAAAAGTTAGGTACCCCAGCTTTATTCTGGCCTCAGCAGCTCTCGTCATCATCACGTTCCGCAGTTACCATGGCACCCCGAGTCAAAAGTTTCCCCGTCGTCAGCTGTGATCGGAGCCGCTGTTTCTCCACTCCTTCAGACCAGAGCTTAACAGTGGCATTCACACTGCTCTGTTACAATCGCACAGCTGTGTTTGCAGGCGGTACTTTTCCAATTTTGAGAATGAAAAATTCAACATCTCCCTCTGGTGGTAGCACAGGGCGTTACAGGCAGAGCACATTGTTTACCCTTCATACCTGCTTCACCACATACTTTCGACTTTAAATACTGTTAGTGCCATATGAACCGGCCCGGACTCTGAGGAGCACAGGGACGGGACTCCTACTGGGACTCTGAGGAGCACAGGGACGGGACTCCTGCTGGGACTCTGAGGAGCACAGGGACGGGACTCCTGCTGGGACTCTGAAGAGCTCAGGGACTGGACTCCTGCTGGGACTCTGAAGAGCTCAGGGACGGGACTCTTACAGGGACTCTGAAGAGCACAGGGACGGGACACCTACAGGGACTCTGAGGAGCACAGGGACTGGACTCCTGTTAGTGCCCAGAGTCAGAACTAAACATGGGGAGGCTGCTTTTCAGATTCATGCTGCTAAAATCTGGAACAATCTTGCTGAAGATGTGAGACAAGCCTCTTCTCTGACAACGTTTAAATCCAGGTTAAAAACAGTTCTGTTTAGCTGTGCATACAAATGAGGTACTTTATATTTTTATCTTTTTTTAATGTACTGTTATTATTTATGATTTTAATGCTATCTTGTCTTGTTTAGCACTTGGAGTTGCCTTGTGTATGAATTGCGCTATACAAATATACTTGCCTTGCCTTACTTATCTGACTTTTTATTTCACATTCTAGAAAACATGGAAGGACATAAGTCTCATGATCCATTTAAAGGGTAAAAATAATGCTTTTTGCTTGCACAGCATAAGAAAAAACTTTATTTTTTAGCACAGAGAGATTGATATTCATATGTTGACACCTGTGGCAGTGTCCAGAA